TCTGCCTGCGTGTTTTCTATAGTGTCATACAGGTCGCCTTCTTTTTTGAGTTCCATTTGCATTTGATTTCGATAATATGTGGATTATTTCATGAATGCTGTGCCTAATGGCTTCCTCTGAATTCTGTGTATACATCACTGGACCAGTGTCGACTGTGGACGAGAATAAGTCGTTCCTCTCCACTCTATAAGTATGAAGTCCCAGGATACTACAGGGGCAATAAAAATTTACTCATCTACTGACGTGAACATCACTTACTCTCTTGGTAGCTATTAGGACATGTTGTCTTTTCATTGCTTTCCTTGACTTACTGCTCATCAGATATTGTTGACATTAAACCGGCGAACATGGAAGACTTGTCCGAAGTCATAACTGCAGCCCAATTTCATCCCACCGCCTGTTCCCTCTTCATCTACAGTAGCAGCAAAGGAACCATTCGCCTATGCGACATGCGCCAGCGTGCCCTATGTGATGAGCACGCATTACGTAAGTCTTGTCTAGGCCTGTCGTTCCTCTCTAGATAGACCATCTGAAGAAACCTTTTTGTAGAAGCACTCAACAGCTTTCCTGAGAGAGTACCGACTGAACTTATCGTCCCTATTGTACATGGTCTCCAACGGATGCTCCTACATTAGTGACTTGAATTGTAAGAGCTTAAGAACTCATCTGAGTTTAAAAAAATTTTGTATGGATAATTTGGTGTATCCGAGTCCATTGGCTTTTTCACTGCGGACTCTCTGATCAATACCTCAACGAAATGTAGGCCTTCTGCTTGCGAAGATAAAAACTTTACCTCCGTACGATCTCTCTTGTTTGGTTTCTGGAAAGTGATGACAGCAATTGTTGAAATCCAATTACCGTAGCTGGTGACTACGGGAGCTGCGTCCTGGAACCTTATTCTTCCCGCTCAAAACTATGGAAACGTATGCAATTTTTATGAATTGGTAAATACTGTTACTGACATTTTGGGAAGTTCACATGAGCTCTTTCTACCTTCTCATGGATTGTCTTTCATCTGCCGTGTATGCTCACTTTTTATCGGCGCTGGGTGTTTGAGCTACTTTTTTGTCCCTGACTAAAATACGACAACTTAAAGTTGTATCAGTATCGTGCTTTGAGTATAAGATGGAAACGCAGTTGTTTCTAACTGCGGTACTCTACCGAAATCCAGTATACCTATTTCCACGCTAAAACTGTAAGGATGTGTCACGTGGTGTACTGTACGTGCAGCAGAATGCGAGAAGAAAGACAACTAGCTCCGTCTGAAGCTAGGAAACATGTCTCTTGATAAAGGGTTTTTCTACTTAGTACTTTTCTTAAGTCCAGAATTATGTTAGTACCTTGTGTGAATCTAAAATTCGATAGACCGCTAAGTCCTCGTCAGTGTTTTCTACACATACTCGATCGTTTCTAACTCGTTAAATAAGCTTTATGTTTGAGTTGGATTCAGGTCCTTACTGCTAGGTGAGCAGAAGAACAATGTTCAATAGATCAGGAAACTGAATCGAGGCAGTGTAGAGAGGTGAACTGATGGCCGGAATGTTAAACAATAGGCTTACAAGGTTTTCAACGTAAGCCAACCGTTGACTGGAATGTGCTACCAGATGAGTTAGCGTATCATCACTGATGAACGGACTAGACATCGCACATCTGCAGCGTCTTTTTGGATACAATTGTCATTTCATCAACAGAAAGTACAACTACTTGCAAGCCGAGGAATTCTGATGGGGCCAGTTTAAAAATCGAAGCTAAGCTTGAACCGTTAATATGTCTGATTTGAACCCGCTTGGGTTCAACTCTCGATGTGGGTTATCGTCTGGCCTGTATCCAGTGGGCACGGTCTTAGTTGTATCACCGTCAAGAGATGCTCGCTTAAACAGTATTGGTTCAGTTTGTTTATTCGAACCCAACTCGTAAAGGCCTTTGATATTTCAGATCTTTCATTGAGAATTTTTAGCAACAGCTTTCGCCCATCATGTAAACTGAACTTCATTAAAATAGACTGTTTTTCGGAGGAGTTTGGGAAACATTCAGTAGATTTGTTTCTGGGTACCGTTTCGCTTCGTTAAACTAATTGGGATGTGACAGCTCAAGTAGTTAGAGCGCGAATTTACTGACCGGAAGGTCCGTGGTTCGAACCCAACCTGTACCTCTCGACTTCCCCTGTCTAGGTCTGGGCAACCTGGCAGTATCTCAGCCCTTGTGCTTCTTCCGGGTGGCATTGCAACTAGGCACCGGAACGGTGTTTTTTTTATAAATTTTTTTGACTAATTGTCTAGGGTACTAAGTTGGTCAAGATTTAAGGCGGAAGGGGAATCAATAAGCTAATTTAGGATAAATTGGTGTTAGGCGTCGGCCAAGGGATTTTGTTTGCTAGGTGGGATCAGGAACCTACGTTGATTTGGGTCCAGCTTAAGGTCTATTTCTTCCGACTCACTTCACGTGAAGATTCCTGTTGAACGTCGTTTCCACTTTTCGGCCATCGTCTGGATGTGCAGTTCCGCGACAGTTGTGTAAGAGAGATTTCCACTCTTTCTTGCTAATTATTCTGCGTTTATTGACAACCGTCACCGTCGGCTTGTCTAATACCGCTCTCCATACGCTCACTGGTTCCACACCCTCGAATCTATTCACAGTGTGATGCTTGGTGATTTCTGCAGCCTCGGCCATCAGCTATTGTGGTGTGAACCACAGTTCCCACTTTGAGACCTTTACGTCCTCTACATCCTACGTCCTGTGCCTAACACTTGTCCCGCCGTCGCCGGGTCTTTGACTATCTCTTGGTATCCTCATTCCTTGGTTTAGTTTATCATTTTCTTGTGCTCTAGTGCGCAGTTCCCTGGCTGCTTGTGTTTTGTAAACCTCAGTGTATCGTTACATTTAATCCTATCCACGATTTCTATTGCTTTCAAAGGAGAGATTATTATTCAATTACACCAAATCCATATAAATCGCCACTTGTTGGCCTACTCTAATAAACGAAATCCCTTACCCGACACCTAACACCGATTTAGCCTGACTTAGCTGGTTGGCTCTCCATACCTCTTAAATCTTGACCAAACTCGTAATCTAGTCACCTGGCCTGGCGAAGCGGTGACTTTTCAATCGGTTCCAAGCGTTTCCCAACATGGACTGTGGCTTAGATAGGCTTTCGAACAGGATTGTTCAACAGCTAGTTCCAGTCATTAATTTCATCTATGTGTTACTTAGGTTGGCACTTCCGACAAGATGAACCGATCCCATGGATGTTGGGACATTCAACGAAGCTTCTCCACGTTTTGGATACCGATTCACCGCTGTAACCGGTTAAACGCTCAAATTCTACAGCGCACGAGGCTTTATTCAACAACTGTCACTCTAATTGGAAACGTTTTCGATGATTCATCGTCTGACCGTTAGGAATCGTATGTGGGGTGGAACATAATAAAAGTGAATGATAAGGCAGACGTGGGGATAGGAAAATGTGCGTATCATTCAGAGTGGAAGTAATCTGACACAGCTAATTTTCTGGCTTGTGTGGGAGACATGCCCTTGTGTGCACTATTGCGCCTGAACTAGGGGCGAATACTGGTCACATTCAGCTGGAGGGATTGGACAAATATCTTCTGTGCACACAGTTCGGATGTGAGAAATTAGGTAGCAACAGCCTCGCCAATAGCAAGGTTAATTAGTCTGACCGCTTTGCACTGTTTTTGCATCTGGAAGACGATCCGAAATGCAGTGCCTCGATCAACGACGTGTCCCTTTCGTCCGGGTGGGACTCTACCTCCCAGGGCGAGTCACTTTGAATAGTGTTCACCAGTCTGCTTGGACAAGTGCCGCGCCGTTCGACCTACGTAATGGACACCACATGTGCATTTGAATTCGTAAACGACTATCAGGAAGGTCAGCATTGGCAGAATTTGCAGGAATAAAAGAGGTGAAGTTGAAAAGCACCACATCATGTCTTCCACACAATCCAGACTTGGGCAACTTGGCAGTACCACGGCCCTCGTGCTTCCTTCGGATGACGTGACAGAAAGGCACCGAAAAGATGTTGCCGTTAAACGATTTCTTATTTATTTTTACATAACCCAGACTATTGATTGTGCGCTGGCAGAACTTGTCCCTGATCACGATTCTCCTTGGGCGTCTGACGCATCCCTTTTTGAAGAATGCCTCTCGTACTGACATTGGACCCTCATAGAACAGCTTTCACAGTTCGTAGTAAACTCAGTGACAAAGTAGCCACGCGACGACCTGAATTGAAATAATGGGCTCACATGTTGTTATCTCGTGAGCAATGCTTTTTGATCTTACCGTACGCTGTGAGATTAGTGCGTCGGAGTACTGAACGCTCTTCGTTTTATCCATTTATGTGGCTCCGATTCGTTGAAAGACACCTTCCATCGAGATGTTTTCCACCACGAAGAGCTCATCTATAGTTATGATAACAACAGCTTTTTATTGCACAGGCAAGACACCTTTGTTCATCAGAAGCACACCTCAATGTTTGTCTAGCCTGAATGTAAAACAGTGAAGTGATGAACATCTTTTGCGGCTGTGTACTGATCACGTGTTTCGCAGTGTCACTATTATGCTACCTGGCATCATTCTACCGCTGAACAGCCTTGGAGTCAAATTGACTCTGGTGTCATCAGCTACCAACGGTGTGGTTCAGTCCTTGATTACCAAACGTTTTGGAATACACAATTTGCTTCAGATCATGTCCTTGTTTGGTGGAGATTTTCATCAAACCCGCTTGGTGAACTTCAAAAACTAGTCCCCCCCATTTCGCAGTAGTAAAGTTTTGTGAACCACATGCTAGGGAAACCTACCAATGCAGTACAAGCGGCTCCCTCGAGGGACATTAACCGTTACCGGGATGAGGTAGCCATGGCTGCACATGACACCGAGAATCCTTCTTCCAGTGTTCTCGAGCGCGTACACTAAAGCCACTGGACCTCTGAACGTTCATTACCACTTATTTATGCGGGGCGTCCTACCACTTCTAGTTCGGAGTACAATCGGTCAGTCGAAAACTCACATGTAGTCTGTGTACGGTCAGAGGGGCATGGTGGGACCAAAAAGTTCAAGAAATGGAAGAAGTCAGTGCAGCTGTGAATGAATGGAGCCTTATCCAGCTAATACACAAAGCAGGACCTAAAAGGCCTTTTTTGAGTTAATCAAAGATAATGTTAGAAGTCTCATATATAATAAAGAGTTTAGACCGCTGGACGGAATATTTTCAACGGCAGTTTAGTTGCCCTCTGCTTTTGACTTGCTAATTTTGAACCGTGGTCTGTGAGTTCAGATCCCTCTTAGTTGATGAAGCACTATGCCTTTCCCCCTTAGATTACCGTCGGATTGCTGGACCAGATGGGCTTGTCCCAGCGTTGTTCAAAGTTGGAGTCGTATGTTTGTGTCCCGCTTTGACTAGGCTGTTTTAAGTATTTGAGAACTCGAAGGTATTCCAGAGAAGTGGGGCCAGCGGTTGATCGTACTTGTTCTTAAAAAAAGGTGACCAAACTGACTAGTTCAACCACGGGGGTATAGGTCTTATTCCGATCACAGCCGGCTGCTGGCTCCCCCTATATCAGGATGCCTCACTTCGGCACGTGAGATGCAAGTCCAAGTTCACCAAACAAGATTCCAACCTTACAGATGGTGAATTGATCATGTCTTTACGTTACACCAAGTGCTCTAGCGGTGCTACCTGTACCCCGACCAACGGTGCCGGTTTTCTTAGACTTTGAAGGAGCATGCGACTCTCTGGATAGGTTGGCTCTATAACTACTTTTGGCCGGATGTGGATGTCCTCGAAGTCCGTAAACATTCTTCCCCTACCTCCGGTCTGGTTAGTGTACGGTAAATTGTTCAAAAGTCTTCTGATAATTAGCGGAGCTTCTCAGGACTGTTATCTCTCCCTTTTTTGTTAAGTTTTATCATGGACTTTGTCATGAAGCGCACGCTGTAAGCAACCATGCATCTTTTTGAAGTCACGTCTGAAGAGAGCTTAATGAACTTGGATCATTTGGGAAGCATTTTTTTCGATTGTTTGTTTGTGCAAATTACTCTTAACTGGATATCAGGGGGTGGTCCCATATTTCAGTATGGCGCTCATGCTGTCATTTGTTCCTAGATAAGGTTCGCCTCTCCGGTTTGCTCGTGTTGTGTGAGTTTCGCAAAGGATGCCGCTGATGGCGACATGATGCCTAGATGTGTTTATTTTAATGCTGTTCAAGGCACCTTATTCTTGATCGTTGTCCCTATGGATATCAAGCTTTGGACTCTTTTTTAAGACTTTCTTCCCTGGTGGCTGTATGGCAGTTAAGCGCCAGCAAATATTACTGTTGCGCTGCTGTCACTGATGATGATGATGATGATGATGATGATGGTGATCGTTCTTGGAAATTACGTCTATAGCTTAATTTTGAGTGTAATTGGCTGAAGCCAGGTTCTGGTCTCTTTATCCGTCTGGCGAATTCTTTCGGTAACTCCAGGGCTGATATGAGACTGCATGTAGATAGATGTTTATGTGATTGATTAGTTGTCGGGCTTTTTTAGCATATATTCTACTAGGACGTGGTGTATGCACGTGCACTCGCATAGATCAGTAGAACTTGAGCGGTAAGTGGTCAGCTTGTGAAAGCTGCTGAGCAAACTAATGAAACATGTGACCATTTTCACGTGTTCAACTGATCAGATGCAGTGGGCCAGTTTGCACACTTCCATAGTATGTGATCGTATGTGATGTACCAAACCACACGTGTTGTGAGCCAAACAGTCTATATGTCCTTCCCTTTATCTAACTCCTTGGTTTTCTCTGCTCACTACATTTCTTCCCTCGAGCATTCTGGTTTATTCGGAGGCACATCTAGTGCGAGGCGCATGCTGTGTTAAGTGGTGGTCACTACTGGATATTTAGAAGCATAGGGTATTGCAGCCCTGTGTCGTAAACTCGGAATGGTCGTACACTACATCCTTTCATATTCCTCACATGTTGACGTCGGTTTCGTTGGTAGATTGAAGTAAGCATTCTTCACCAGATATCAATGCCTGATTTTGGACGGTAAGAGAACCAAAAAAGAGAAAAAAATCGCTGTTCAATCTAGTTTTCTTCCAGGCGGGGGCAACCGGACAAATACATCATTAAGCCATCTTGACAAATGAGACAAATGCAATCTGCCTGTCAGGCACAGTTGACTTCTGACTTGTACACCCAAATGGGTTAAGTTTGTAGGTTTCCCTTGAGCACTAAAGCCGAGGAGACCCACTCTGACGTAAGCGATCTGGTGTAGTCTGCAACTAAGTTACCTTCATCATGAACCCGGGTAGCTAGTTATTGTGTGCACCAAGAGTACGTTTGTTCCAGGTGCCACAGTTTTGATCACCGGAAGACGGGAGAGCTGGGGCAAATAGCCAAGTACAGGAGGCAGTGTTATAATCAGTATCCGTAATCCGATATCCCCACCAGACCCTGTCTGTACTACAGAAACACCGATAGTCAAACACGGAGCTTTCGTACCTGCTGTGCATAGACCACCCCACTGCTTGGTGGTGTTATCGTTCGCTCAACACTTCGCAAGCCACTCCGTGCAGAGAGTCATTTTTACTTGTCAAGTTGCATTGAGCACTTGATGGTTTTGATCCTGGCAACCATGTTCAATAATGAACACTTAGCTTACATGAGATGCTCGACAGTTTGCGTGTGCCGTCTGTCACTAGAATTAACTAACGGGTTGGTTTGCGAGCACTCTTACCAATTTTGAACTTCGCGTCACAGACTTATCAGTAATTTCATATGAGATACCGACAGTCATGCAGGTCGAGGCCACTTCCCGCGATAGTTGATATCGGGCCTTTCCCTCAGCTTGAACACAACAATCCGAGCATGTTTGTATGGTTATCTAACAGCACGCTTGTGGTTCTCTGACAAAAAGTCTGATTTCTTCTCGATGCATTCGTGGGCAGTGTCTCACTTTTCTGTTAATTTGTGTTACTTATCATTAATCCTGTTTCCAACCCATTCCGCCCACAATAGTATTCGAAGAGACGGATGATCCGCTGAGTCGCAGTTTCTTCTCAGAAATTATTAACAACATATCGGATTTGAACTTCAGTCATTCCGGTCGATTTATATTGAGTCGGGACTATTTGACCGTCAAAGGTGAGTTAAACGTTGTGGTGCTTTTTCGGTTTTCCTTGTTTGTCATCGTTCCAAATAACATCGATTGACTGGGAGAAAAAACGGTTGTATTCTTTCCCTTCATTACAACTGGGTGTCGGTGTTTGACGTTCCTGTTATCCCCGTGATGGCGATGTCTCCCGGTTATAAAGGCTTCGGTGTATCATACTGAACCACACTACCATCATTGTTATGGGCAACGCCAACAGCAAAACTGGGGGGAGGGGGGGTTGACAATCAAGGGCAATGTGAGTACATCTCCCAACAGCATTCAGATAAACATGTCTGAGTTTCTTCCTTGGCTCTTTTCCGGGACCCCATCCTGGAGTTTCCGAAAATCCCATATTGGTGATCCTAATAATAGGCGCCTTCATTGCCACTTCATGGCCTGAACCAAGCATGTTTGCATGTCAGCTATAATCGGCCGTGCCATCACCCTTTTATTCTGATTCCAACCGACCCGTGTGCCGAAACTCTTTTACCTTATTCTGAAACTTATTTTTCATGGATTGGTTTTGCTCTGTTTTGACCGCGTTTTCTGCCATGCAGTAGTTTTTCACATCCAAGAGCTCACAGACCTATTGTGTTTCCTAATTCGTTTAGTTACATTCAAGATACCACTCTCTGTCAGTGTTACGTATTTAGCTACATCAAGATAATCATTTCTGATGTGGATGATTTGTATGTTAAGGGGAAAATACGTGCCTGGTCCTGAATGGGTTCAACAGGCGAAAATAACAGTTTTGGTTATATAATCAACTGGGTCTCACTCGACTGGCTTTGATTCTGTGCTAAATCTATTTGGCTGAACCATTTATGTCGTTCAAGTACGAATACCTTCGCCGTTCAGGCGTCTATACAGTGTGCGCTGGTGGCGTTTCGCATATCAGATATTCGGATTTCAAATGTCCAACCACACGCACCGCTGCTGAGTTGTGATAAGAGTGAGCCTCGAGTCCAATGCTTCCGCTCTTTGATTTAGCCCAACCGGAATGCTTGTGACAGCTATGCTTAGCGGTTTTCAGCTACGCGACTGCCACAGCGCTTCAGTATCTTGGCAACTCGGACTATATTCAGTATGATACAGCCTCTTTCTCATCCAATAGAGTTCTGACTTCCTGACTCACTCACTTTCACTCTTTAACACATGATCCGCAGGTCAAGATGGAATGTAGACTCTCTTGAGACTCCAGGACTCAGTCATACGATCCACTAGTCATCCGATTACGAGTTCTTCGTCACCGAATTTCAGTTGAAACCGAGGCATCCCAAATCAAACATTTTGGTTTGTCCGGCGTAGTTGAATCTCGTGGGGCTAAGCTTCATCCACCTGTTGATGGCAGCCTTCAAATTTCTCCGCAACGGTATGGTGATTATGCTAGTAGACGGCCGTTCAGTTGTGACACCCTCATTGTCTAGCTGCACTGCCAGCCTAAGGGAACACGAAGGCTGAGATAGTACCAGGCTTCCCAAGTCTAGACAAGCACTCGAGATACCGGTGTTGGTTTCGAACCAGAAACCTTCCGGTCAGTAATTTTGCGTCTCAACCAGTAAGTTAACTCAAGCTCGGTCGTTTTGCTTTTGGACCCAAATCTGTGCGTGCTCGCCTGTTGATCTGGTTCGCTGCTGTGTGTATAGTAATGGAAACAACCTCCTCCTAAGCCCCACCGGAATCAATCAACAGAAACTAGGAACCTGGTCACATCGGACACCAACCACTGTGATTCCCACCCGACAACAATGTAAACATTCAGCGTAGGTCTCAGTAGCTTGCAATCCAATTATATGCAAAATATTTGTGGCACGTCGGGATAGGTTTCAGTTTTACCGAGTGGTGACTGTTTGGTGAGTTCTAGTAACAATTACCTATGTAACCACGAGAATCTGGTGTAGTCGACGCAGAGCTGCGCAATTTCTGGGGAACTTATGTGCTTGCAATCCTAGCCATATTAGTTCTGACCCTGAGTAATTATCAGATATAGGATAGATTTATCGTGTGGGGTTTCAACCCCGTTCATGACACTCATGAGTATGTTTTGCTCCCTATTGTGGTTATTCCATTGTAGTGTTTCTTAAGACGGAAATTACTGCATGCTATCCACGTGCGACCACAACGGTGGTCGATTGCCTAACGTCACTCTAATATGTACCGTACTGATACCCTGGATATCGTTCTGCGATGTGCACTGTATGAGATACCGTGTGAGGAACGACCGTGTCCAGCCTATACTGTGTGCAAACCTTTCACACCACATGGTTATTCAGATGAAGAGCTTGTGATTACGGTCTATGCGCCTTCGTGTGAGTGGCTGTAACTGTGACAAAAATATTGATGCCCGATCGATCGTGCAGAGAAAATAAAGCATGCTCGGAATTCGCTCGCTTCGACTCACTTTCCGTAGTTATTGGTATGCTACTGTTTAAATCACATGAGGGCGGTTTGTTCAATGCCATTTCCAACGTATCCTCCTCATAAAGGTTACCGGGATTGCGTGTGTCTGGTTACAACAGTCAGATCCTGTATTTATGTTCCCACTTTCTACTGGATGGTTGGTGTTTATAGCGATCACTTTATGTTTATGTTTGGTTGGATGGTGTGATACCTCATGTTCTTCCTAGTTTTTATTCCAAAACCCCACTTTCCGTACAAATCACTTCACAAGTGTGTAAAGATGAGCAATCAGCAAACATGACCTTAAATTGACCTTTTTGATGTGCAACCCTGGTGATGTAAAATGCGATATCTGGCTAGGCTTATATTATTGAATTGATGTGCACTCTGAATTTTTCTCACCCCTATCGATCCTACCTACCCTCTTTCTGTCTTTAGTATGGGATTTGAATATGCCTCGACAACCGGTTGAGACCTACCTGGTACATGACTATTTTAGGACAAAGTTATGCGCACTATACGAGAATGATTGCATTTTCGACAAATTCGAATGCCAGTGGTCACCGGACGACAGGTAAATCCAACTTTATTCTTCCTGTGCTATATTTCTATTTCTCCGTTCGCTTCGTACCATTCTTTTCAACCTTTTTGACACCCGTTGCCAGATCACGTTTCGCTTTATTTGGTTTATCTATTTCTGGACGTTGTTGGCACTATATTTACGAATGAGTGATCATGTATTCGGTGGATTTTTCGCACCATTGCCCAAACTGGTTTGAAAACACCGTTTCGGTCAAGTTTGTTCGGTGATAGGTTAATTTATTTGTCGCGCAGCACTTCGGTTTTACCACGAAAGCACTGAATCTACCGCTTGCTCATCAAACTTTCCTGAATCAATACTTCTCAGTTTGGTTCGAAGTTTTTGTCAGTTAATGAAGTGACGCTGTTTGTCAAAAAAAGTATGGTTCGTCACGTGCGTGTACACATTTAAGCGGTGTCAGTGTTTTTTTACCACACGGATTTTTCACTCTAGGGATTAAATTTACAGCTGAACGTCAGTTGTATACAACATTCAGTCGCTATTTCCGTAACTTGGAGAACAAATTCTTTTGCCCAATTTGTAAATGACGGGACTGTATCGCGTTCGAGGAGTATAAGTGTGATATGGTAGTGAACAGCCATGAAAATGTGTCAGGCTGTATCCACGTCGTTGCATGGCTTCCAAGCTCGAGATTGCTCAGTGGTTAGAGCGCGGATTTACTGACTAGACGGTCCGTGTTTTAAGACCTCTGCATCCTGACTGCTCTTGTCTGGACTTGGGCATCCTGGCAGTATCTCATCCCTCGCGCTTCATTCTTGTGGCAGCTAGGCAGCGGAAGGGTGTTACAGCTGAACGATTATTTTGAACTACGCATGGCTTCCATCCTCGAGCACCTTTGCATCACCATGCAACGTGGATTTTGAAAACGATGGTTTACCACCGCTAACGCTTCAGCTGGCCACCCACGGTCCCAAAATATCTCGACATATGATTCTCCCTCCCTTCAAAGTAGGCCTTGCTAGCTAATTTCGGTTTCCTCACCAATAATTAGGTTTCTGTTTCAATATTCCTCGTGCGGAATCCACTTTCATCAAACTTAGAAAAGTGGTGTTTCCCCCTAAAACCTCATCCTAAAGTTTGTCACATATTGTGCCCGACATCGAATTTACGGTCTCACTGTTCTATTCTCCGGACTTGAGGAAGGCTTTTGCCTCATTGTACTTTCTCTTCAGTATGTTTCCAGATGGTACACCGGATATGAATAACAACTTATTTGTCAGCAAACACAGCGATGCTCGTTGTGGCTTTTGTCTGAAGATCCTGTTAGGACCGAACAACTCATCTGTTGTTCGTTCGAAGCCGCTTCAGCTTCCTACACCCGGACGAAATTCAGACTCATGGTTGCCCGTATTACAACCTTCGTATTGCCTTTGTCTCCTAATTCTTTTTAACGCACATTCTGAAGCCTGCTACTCTATACATAACGACAATTGCGTGCATTCTGATTTCTATTTGATATTCTCACATATATGCTTCTCTAAATCCGTCGCGATTTTTTGTGCTGATAATCCACCTCCTGGAGCCCAAAGTTCTTGGCTTGATCTGACTTTTTGATGCACCGTATCCGTATGCTCCCATGTGAGCTTGCTGTTTCGCGTTTGTGCTCTGCTCTGTTGATCACAGAATCATCTGGTTGTGTGATCGATTTAGTTTGTCCTTAAGAGATATCTGTGGTGCACGAAATGCAACCAGAAGCATTTGGTTTTTCTCCGGTATTTTGGTCATCCAGTATGATAGAACTTGATATGGCGATGGCTGAACGTAGTACTTCATTTGAAGTGTGATTTTAAATTTGACTTCCCACCGATACTGTTCCAGATGGGAGGTATGAAATGCTGTTAGAACCTTCCTGGACAGATGGTCATTTCTACCTTGTAGTTATTAAGTGCAATAACCTTTTCTATCTATAAAGGAGCACATCGCTCGGCTATTCAGCCTACGTTTCGAGCTTTGCTCGGTGATGCGCTATCAATCAATTTTGAGGTACTACTTGATTTCTGGCCAATGCCACCGCAGTTCGTAGACAAGACTATCGATCACTCAACCCAACTGTGAGCTGGCCAGTCAGTGGCCCTCGAGTTCCTTGACGGTAAAAACGCAATCTGAGCCATCACGGAACTACCGCCGAAAATGTGACAACTAATCGCCCCCATTTTGTTGTTTATTTCATCAGCATTTTGTATTTAGCATTTTACTGATTCTTTTCAAAGTCTCACGTAAGATCCCCTGCTGAATAGGAATGCAGCTCATCCAAGGAACTTGTATAATATTTGCATTATTAAGATATGTAGCATCCGAAAGAGATCGCTCCACGCCCCGAACAATTTTCAGCTAGAGGACCCACCATTCAGTCCGTTTTCTGGTAGCGTTCAAAATTTTCCTCTCCGTCGTAGCATAAATCCTTCGTCTAATTCTCGGCCTCTTCCCCGAAGTAAGCGGGCTCAATCAGCCAGAGGGTTGTGATCTGTGTACTTTCTCAGAGGTATTGAATTTGCTCATTCCGAAGTCTCCGTGGATAGGCATTGAATTTTGTTTAAGCTCCGACCGTGCTGGCCTACGAGCCTTGCCTTGGTTTTATCGGACGACTGGCCAACAACCTCTTCTCCAACAGATGGATCAGGCTAGCACTTATCGTGTGCCACATTTCACAGGGAACCTAGTCCCTACCGCACAGCTCCAAACGTAGGTTGTATGTGTTTCATTTGTAGACCATAAATATCAGTTCATCAGTTATCCAGATGGTTGTTCTCTTCATCCCATTATATAAATAACATTTTGCATCCCATGGCGGCATTTCGAGTGATAATTTGGTTTAGTTAGTTTGGGATTCAAGGCCGATATGCGTTGAATGAAGTAACAAATGGTTGTCACACAAGTCCCATCCTCCAGGGAATAGGATGCCTTAGGTAATGAAAAGAAGTCGTGTTTGTGCATGGTATCTGGAAGATTATGTCGGTTTTTCTACCAATCCGCAGTAGCGGCTTCACAACGTTTGTATTTTATACCCTCCCTCTTGATGGATTCTGTTTCATCCATCGATCACAACTAGAGGCTGCTTCCTTCGGCACGGACTGTCCAGTTCGAATAGCTCACATATTCTCATTTCCATTCGATCGGTCTAACATTCTCCGCTGTCTTGCTCAGTCGTGCCTCCAGTTCACATATTCACGTTTCTTCTTTTCAGATACATTATGACTGGATCGTATAACAATCACTTTCGTGTATTTGACCGTCTGACTCGCGAGGATGTCTTACTTGAAGCATCTCGAGAGGTCATGGACAGTTCTCCGCTTGGAAAACTTCGCCCTCGACAAGTCGTCTCTGGAGATCCTGGTCGTTGGTTAGATGATAAGATTAGTGTCGAATCAATGGATTTTACTCGAAAACTGCTCCACTTATCGTGGCACCCTCGTGAGAACAGTGTCGCTCTGGCAGGAACCAGTACGCTTTACCTAATCGATTACTATGCTGGTGCACAGAATGGGGCTGTTTACCCGAAACATGTGGATGGGGATATGCGGGAGATTACGAATATGGATACGGTGGATGCAGCTGGCGATATCAGTCCGGATCTCTGATATCCTACCTAATTGATAGTTTCAGTGGACTGAATGTACAGGCCTTCTTGTCTCTTCGGTTCATGTACGCATTTGCACCAACAACCTCTCACCTATGCTACTTAATGTATAACAACCACGGATGCGACAGCGGTTGGATCATGGTTCAGCTGAGGATTTTCTTCAATTCGAAGTCTCTGCACTTCACCACCCCAAGTCCCAGTTTTTTTATATATTCAGCTCAACTGTTTCAGGACCTTTATATAACCCGTTTCCTGTTCAAATCAAGTCCTCATTTGTACAGCACTCGTCAGCCCCATCCTCTTTACCCTGATGAACCTCATGTACTCTTCTGTGGCAATGAAAATTTCTTTTATTGGTATATCTCACTGAAGTGATTACTGGGTTTTAGGCTTTCGTCTCGCCACGTTTCTCTGTTCGTCGTTTGTTCCCATGGCATCTATTACTAGTTGCTGGGATGGCCGATACTCGTTTCGTGAATGACACTTTTTTTCAGTATGTATTTCACCCTTGCTCCTGTTGAATGACATCCCACACCCTGTTGGTAATGAGCTGTCAGCTTGTAAGCTGTGTCCTAACCGATGCAAATGTCACAGATTCGCTTGTAATTCAGATTGATCCACGGGTGAACCCCTCGTCTCATTCCGGTATCCAGTAGGTTGTCTCCTTTCTCCGCTGTACTCTGTATCTTGGCTCTGTTTCTTTATTCTCTCAAACCTCAGATTATTATCGTCCCCGTATTTTTTAAAATCAGCCAGTACTGTATCCACGCTTTTCTCTGATCCACTGAAGGTAAAATATGATGGAAAGAACGTTTTATCTTTAGCATACGTGAAGAGTTTTCCACTACTGTACACCTAATTGGCACGCCTTTCGCCTGGTGGGATGTACAAAATTGCTTATGCATGCGCATTACGTGAACTGGCCGGGTGATCTGCGTCACCTACCTGTTTAACTAATCCAGACATGCGTGCTGGCATATGGGATATAGCCGATTGGTAGTGTGATCCGTGTGGGTGATTTGGCAACCAATGAGCAGCAGGTTGGTGTATTTTTTTGCATGTGAAGAGAAAGATGTGAAGTGCGTCATCCTAAGAGTAAAGGTGAGTAGCAACGTAAGTTCATACAATGTCGAAAGAACGCATTGACATTAGGAAATTTAGTGACCTATTTTGTTGAATGGAGCTACCCACAGGGTTGCTTAGAACTCTTCGACGGCCCTTGCTGGGGCTTATTAGGGATGAGCAGTCCCCGAGTCTCCGTCAATTTTCTGTTCTACTTAAACCCAAATTGTGCGAAATTCGTGAAATACACATTTGCACACTAATTATGTTTTAACGGGTGACCCAATAGAACCCCAGCTAAATCTCCCGTTTATGTTGCTCTTCAGTTGAGTCTACCCCTAAAAATCAAGTTGTTGCGCAAGACTCATCTCTATTTTTAGCACTGCGCTGCAACCACTTGTTCTTCCGATAGATGTTATAAAATGGCAATGTCGTCGTTTCAAGGTAAAACTGGTTTATGAACCAAACTCTCCTCAAAAACATTACGTATACTTTTGTTTTTGACGTATTTTAATGCAACCGGCATCCTCGTTGTGCCCTGCCGTGACCAAGTTTGAGCAAATTTAACCACAGTTTTACCAGTTGACGCAGCATCAATTGGTGTAGCAAGGGTGCTAAAATCACACACAGTACTCTCTTCAGCACTTTACTGTTTTGGGTCACATCGGTTAGTCCAGGGCTGTTGATCACTCGTAATTCTAATTTCACAAACCTCAGACTGAACGGCCAAGCAACAGTGCTAGCCAGGCTACTACATTAGATTGTGGCGTCCCCAGTCGGTCGCGTGAGAAGGTTAATTACCGAGCATTTGTCCATCCTACTCTTTTCTGAGGCATTCTGTTTCATGTGGTTTGGTGAGCCGCGGACTCCTAGGTCACAAGTTTTCCGGGTTGCATAGCGCCTGATACAGCCTCCATGAGTTAACCCGAACCTCGTTTACGTGTGCGTTTTGAGTTATCTTGTGTTTCTTAGCCGTCTGAGTTTCCTTGCTTCCTCATGATTCACACTATGGGTCCATTCCCATTTGAGGTCTTTTGCATCAGTCCTTTAGAGGAGACTCATTTTGTAGGGGCTGGTCCATGGATTATCGACAAAAGCTAGTCCATATTTTGCGGACCACTTAGTTCCTAATTTTCTGGTTTTACATCCATTTTATTCAAAGTGGCATGCTTCTCTCTATATTCAAGCGGTGTTCCAGATGCTATATCCTACATCAGTAAGACCATTTTCACTATTATCAAGCGTCGGATAGACTTCAGTCTAAGTATGTTCTGGCTACTTGTTACGACCGGATATAACGAGCTCAGTCTGTTTAGCAGCTCCCATCAAGTTTTGACTTCTGTATGCTGGATCAGTACAATCATTGAGAGCATAGGGTATCTGAACGAGCCAATTGGGGCAGGCACCACTATCAGGTTAACCTCAGGGACGTTGAAGTTCAGCCTTGGGGAGATATCTGAGTGTTAGCGGGACTTGACCATCCTCTTTTCTGAAGATGCCTTGAATCCCCAGTATAGATAGGCTGTCATAATTCATCCGGAATTTATCCGAATTCTGCAGGTTATGGGCTGTTTGCTTTTTGTCAGGATGAACTACCTCTGTTGTCGGTACTGGTCAACCGATAGAGAGGCAACATGCACTTCAGCGTATCGGTGGTCCTTGTATATCCCGATAGACTGAGATCATTGATAGCTGAATCTGGTCCCAGCTATTACTTCAAAATGGATGGTATCGGCCTTCTGTTTACAGGCTTTTACGTGGTTAGTCCTCATCCCATCTTGTCAACGGCTCCTCTTTCATCATCAACCGGGCTCTACGACTGAAAATACACCTCGTGTTTTGGAGTAGTGACTTTAGCAGTAGCTACCTTGCGGCATTCCAGTCGGAGGCGCTGGGTGTTTAGTGTGTTTAACATGTTTAGGCCCATACAGTTGTCCGGTTATTTTACTACCTGCTTTCGGGACAAGTGGCGGTGGGTGAGTGGTTCCCTCGCCACATCCCAGTATGAATCATAAACATCAGACACCCAACTGGCTGTTCCATGTATCCAGGACTGTAACTCCTCGTTGATTCGACAAGACTGCTCATATAAGAGATCATCTTGTCGGGGATAAATGGAAGCGATCCGCTTTGTTATAGCCCTAACGACATCGGAGTGCTATGAAAAGGTGTGCTTCATGATCACAGGATTTAAACCTTGTCGTGTGGTCAATTAGTTGATCTTAAAGAAGTTCCGCACTCAACCAACACCAGTGAGATCAAAGAATTCCGCTTTCTACCATTTGAATTCTGATTTGTCACTGAACATAAAAGATCTCAAGATGCCGTTTTGTCAGGAAGAAAGAGCACTCATCCATTTGTGGCTGGCTGATTGCAATTGGCGGCATCTGATGTGCACTGACACGCCTTTCTCCAGAACGCAAACCGAGTAGTGCCTTTCCGTTTGAAATGGGACGGATATTGAGTAGTTTCGTTGGTGCTCGGGGTGCGCGCCCGTGTCACCTCTTATTTGAGTGATTGTCACATTCTTGGACGGCAGGACACGATGTGTGCTGCCAGACTATTACGGTGCTTAGGAGAGTGAGACCACTGTGTACAGAAGAGGTCGACCGAAGAGCAGCACAACTTGAGGTAAAAAACGACTTCAATATAGCGGACACCCAGTGGGTTTAATTAAGCGGTAACTGAGACGGGTATTGGTGCCAACACCAAGGCCCAGCAAGGAGTGGATCGGAACAGCGGTCATTCCATACAAAACAGGGACATCTGAAGTCATTAGAAGGGTACTGAATACGGCTAACATTGGAGTAGCAGTCCAGAAGGGGAAAACTTGACGCTCGGTGTTGGTGCATTTGAAGGATCGCCTTCCGGTTGATAAGACAGTTGATAGGATAGTGGCACAACCACTAACCCACTGCTACGCACGACTACGCACTGATGATGGTACCTCGATTGGTGATGAAACGTTTGCAACCAAATTGCCCAGCTCAGCGATCAAGCCAACGACCATCTACGCTACCTGAGCTACCGACATTCTCCTCTATAGAAAACTAGAAACTGTATATACAAAAAAAATAACGACTGTACGAAGGTTTATATAGGTCAGACAGCCAGGGACCTGCACACCAGAATCGGCGAGCATAAGCGTTCCAACGATAGACCATAGACCAACGTAGACGAATACGAGGCGATATTCAAAGATGCGACAGTGGCAGGGCATGCACTAGACACTGGACATCGGATAGATTTAGAAAATGTGGACATCCTGAGACGGGGTTTAAGATTCACACCACAGCGACTGGTGGCCGAGGCGGTGGAAATCGCCAAGCTTCCCAGAGGGGGTAGAACTTGCAAACGTGTGGAGAGCTGTCTGAGATCAGCCGAGATGACACGAGGCGGTGTGCAGTTATCAGCGAAATCGTCTAGGTCTAAAAGTACAAAATCCAAGTAGAGTTAGATCCAATTAACCACCCCACCCCACCCCCATCCCCAAACGAATTGTCCCGGCATCCTTTGACGAACACAGGTGAACGAAATCTGTGAACGACCCCAAGAGGAATTTTCCAATAAGGTGTCCTAGACTGAAAAAGCAAGGACAAAAAATCCGGGTTCATCATGAAGACAAATCCTCCCCCCTAACCAATCTATCGTAAATGTTAGTCCTCCCCACTAACCAACAAACAGGAACCTCAGACTGGCACCAAGCCCTGATTAAGTCGGCTAGTCATAAGAAATCTCACGGCTTGATTCCCTGACTGCCTTAAAACCCAATCAACCTACTTATTTACTCACTTGGCCTGAAGAAGCTTTTGTGTCTAAAGCGAAACATTGTCCAACAATAAATCTCTGAAACTATCACCACTTGACTTTTGTAGTACGAAGTTGGAAGGAATACCTTTGTTCGGATTCATACTGAGACACTCAGACGGCGCTGTTTGGAGGCCAAATCATATTAGGATTGGTACAGACGTTCCAATATCTCGTGAAAAGATCATGGTGAAAAACGTTCTGCACTGATGGATGCAGTATCCAGCTTTCCGTTTCTCCGGTATTGCGCACACCATTTGCTCTCCTTCTCCGTGGTGTTCTGTTTATGTCTCTCCAAAGTTTCTTTCCAACTGTAGGCAGTTAACCTGCGTTGTTCAACCTGCTCTTATCCTCCATTCGTATTTCCGGACACCTGTATCAGTGTTGATTTGTTATGTTGCAAACGAATCAATGGCTTCCTCAGGTTCACACAAATTCGTGGCCACAGATTCAATTATCGCCTTAAATCAAACATCCCACCGGTGAATCACTCAGTCAAACATGCCAGGCTTACCACTACACAAATTTCGGTAGGTTGCCGTCAGTACACAGAACGTCAGAAAAAAGGCGCGTAGTTAGTTCAAACTACCATGAACCAATTAGGAATGCACGTGACCGGTAAAGAATGTCGTTAATTTTATCCGGCGCGCGATGAATTGAAACCGCTAAACGTAGCAGTTGTTCGTGACTGTGGCAAATCAGCATAAGAGTATATCGCGTTTGTTGTAACACGGTGTAGCGACCCCGAAAACGTGACTCAGGTTCGTAATTCTGGATCCGTTATGCCAAACAACTAGCCGGATTGGCCAATCCCCCAAAATCGTCGTACTTGTACAGTGTGATAATCATTTTAGTGTTAGTCTTTTGTAGGACAGTATTTTAAAGTGTAGCCCAGTTAGGGGACAACAATTTTGATCCAGGACCACTCTCTGCTATC